TGTTTTCCCTGGGACACCCTGTATGTGTTTTGAGCAGGTATCAATCTTGTGCTTTTTTTAGAATTGTTTCAAGCACTTAAAGAGAGTATTGCGTTATATTCAAGGTACTTTTGATTATAGTTTATTGTATAGGCGACAGGAAGTTATTGATAAAAGTGATATTATTGGCTGGGGATAAAGTGGACAGAAAATCTGCATCAGGCTATGTGTTTGAAGTGTCTGACTGTACAATTTCATGGTCTTCTCGAAAACAGTGTAGTGTATAGCGCTCCCGTCAACTGAAGCAGAACAATGTGTCAATGTAGCTGTCAGTGAAGCATATTGGTTGAGAAATATGATAAATGATTTTAAGTTTTTGGAAAACTTTGTATGTGTAACATTATTTGGAAATAATCAGGAGGGAGCAATTCAGTTAAGCAAAAATCCTGAATTCCACAAGGTTTTAAAACATGTACCTATATACTCAGAAATGTTGAAATGGGGAACTGAGAAGCTCTTTAAAGGTCTCACATGTATTATCAATAAATGCCTAAATGGACATCCTGTTCCACAAGACTGGAAAACGGCTTTTATATAATCCATTCACCAAAAAGGAACTAAGCTGGATTGCAATAACTTTCAGGGCATATCAGTCACAAGTACACTAAGCAGACTATACGGTAGAATCCTGCGTGATCTCATTGAAGAAGATTATAAAGAGCAAAAAGAAGAAGAGCAGTGCGGCTTTAGAGCAGGAAGATCAGGTACGGAAAACGTATTTTATCTAAAACAAATCATAGAAAAGAGATCTGCTAGATATTTGGAAACCCAGCTCACATTTGTTGACCTACAAAAAGCATACGATACAGTCCCAGTATCCAGACTATGAAAGGTATTAGAACACACAAGCATCAATCACACCTACATAACGGCACCTAAAGAACTATATATAAAGACTCAAAATCAAGAATTAAGATAGATAAAAAAAAACTCACAGATACATTTATAGTAAATAAAGGACTACGTCAAAGACGTTATATCTCTCTTACGCTTTTTAAAATATACGTAGCAGTAGCACTGGAAAATTGGAAGAGGAAAATCAATGGAATGGGTATAGAGATAAATGATAGGTGCCTGTTTACTCTTCAGTTTGTAGATGATCAGGTCATAGTGGCCAGTGGCAAAGAGGACATGCAATATATGATTAGAAAGCTGATAGAAGAGTATCAAGGATGGGGCCTGAGAGTTAATATAAATAAAACAAAATATCTATGTGTAGGCAACCAAAACGGAAATTAGGAAGTGGACGATGGTCAGGAAATTCTGCAATGTCAAGAATATAAGTATCTAGGTATCACATTCGACAACACCGGAACAGACGTGAAAGAAATAGAAAAGCGAATAGTTAAAGCTAAAAAAGTCCTAGGATGCCTAAATAGAATATTATGGAGCAAGGAAATAACAAAGAAGAAAAAATTCAATATATACGAGACAATGATAAAGAGCAGCCTTCTATATGTAGCCGAGACTTGGAGAATTGCAGACAGACAAAAGAGACAGAATAAAGAACGAGAATATAAGACAACAAATGGGCATAGAAGGCACGATAGTCCAGGATATTGAAAAGAAAACAAAAAAAAAACAGTTTACTTGGTACGGACACGTAGAACGAATGCCAAATGACAGGTGGCCCAAAAAAATGCTGCATTGGCAACCAACAGGTAGAAGAAAACGAGAAAGACCAAAACTGGAATGGCAGAAGACCATACAAAAGTCCATGAGTGAAAGAAATCTCTCATCAGAGGATTACTACGATAGAAGAGGATGGAAATTAGGTGTCAGATAACGAAGAAAGACGTTCTAAAACGACACATATATATACCTACATAACAGAAAAGGTGAATGGTGGTATTGTCAATATTGAGTATTTACTAACTAATATATGCACTTAGCTGATATTATGATAAAACCAACTTATAGCCTTGAATTATTTTATAAGTTTAGAGATATACAAGGAATAGGTGATTTGTCATTGAGAGGAGGTGTTAAAGAACAATGGTAAATCTAGCAGGTAGGTATATAGTTGATCGCCAGTGAAGAAAGACGTATATGTGGTAAGATAGAGGCTAAATATCTGGATTCGAGTAAGATGCCAGCGGATCTTGACAAAAGCTTTAGGGTCAACCAAACATTGTAAATTTATGAATTTGTTGGGTATTGTACAAGTTCGCATCTCTTGTAAACCTTTCACTAGCATCCTTTTTTAATAAAAGGTTACCTCAAAGCAAAGCCTATGGCCAGAAATGATCAACACTAAAGACTACATAATGAACAGATCCAGTGGAAGCAACAAGTGACCCTATGAAGTATGGTATGAAGACAAACCATTGAAAGTGGATATTATTCTCATCTGCATAAACCGAAGAAAAGTTTAACGAAAACTCCCCAAATTCATATATTCAGAACTACATCCTTTGGGGCTAGGTAAAATAAATTAATTCAAAATACATACCCAACAGTCGAACTTGTTGTAGTTTAACATAAAATATTTCAATTTCCTTATCAGTTTCTACAAAATATTCTCCAATTCTGACACCAGGCATAAATCTGCTTGCCTTATAGCCAACTTCTCGATAAATCTCGACGTTTTATCGCAGAATAGTTTAATATTAAGAGCCATTTTTGCCATCCCATGGATTAAACGGCTTCCGGATGGCATACGAAATGTTCCGCGTAAGACATATTGAAATCAATGATTCGCAAATGCTAATTTACGACGCGGTCGTACCTCATGCGATACGGCCCAGTAGTTGGGTGTGTCAAAAGTGGTAGTTTATATTTAAATGCTTTAACGGCAATGTGGAGTTTCAAATCATTAAGCTATTTTTCTCGACGGCACGATGTCCAATTTCACCCTTCAGCGCCGCATGCAAATTCGTACAATAGAACAAACAGCCGCGTACACGGAGAATAATAATAAGCAGAAAAAAAACAAGTAGAAAATAAACCATTGAAGTCCGATTTTATCTCGACAATCGCACAAACATAAATCCAGCACACAGAGAGAGAATCGTTCGCCAGCTGTTTCGAACATTAGAAATGCATTTTAATTTCAAAGATCCCCGCGTCACTGGGCTCGCTGTAAAACAAAAGACGGACCCAGCTTGGTTCCAACCCTTTCCGGACCCACCCCAAGGGATTTTTTTTTGTGAAAAAAAACGCAGCTATAAAAAACTTATATATTAAATTAAACGTGAACAACTGGCACGGAGGTGAGTTTTTTTTGCTGCAATTTTTTTTTTCTGTAACTAGATCAGAGATAGATATCTGCGATTAATTTTAATATATGCCTTTTTTATGTTGCGTGAAATGTCATTATTTTATTTTTGCCCTCATGGCAGATGGTCTGTGGATCGCAGATAGCACAGGGTATAACTCATTGGCTTTTGGTTAAGGTAGGGCACAACACTGGAATCCTAATAGCACAGAAACTTTTAAAAAAAGGACATTTTTCTGTAGTGAAAATGTCATAAAATTGGGATTAATAATAACACCCCCGATGGCCATTACGAGTATGTAACTATGCCATTTGGCCTCGTAAATGCGCTTCCAGTTTTTCAGAGGGCAATTCATAAAATTTCAGGTTGTTTACATTATACTATAGGTATGCCGTATATTAGATGATATTTTGATACTCTCAACTATGATAAGATGTTGGCGTTGGTCTGACTTCTTCCTTTGCGATGTTTTATTTGGAAATCGTAACTTTGTAATATTCCACTTTGCGAAACATCGATGTATAATACAAATAGTCCATTGATCCAGCTCTGGCTAATAATCATAGTTTACGTTATTCTCAATAAATTGGTGTAAAAGCTTCGTAATCTTTGCATCAATTAAACGAAGAGAGCTTGGAGATATTTGCAACTCGAGGTTGTACACAGGGGGAGTATTATCACCCCTCCTATGGAATTTATTGTTTGATGACTTATTACTACAGCGTCTCTTTACAATATCCTATAATAAGACCTTAACATTAGATAAAATTCAAGCATCAGCTTAGAACAATCTTGTCTTCAGTCACAACGTTTACAAGCAGTTCTTGGAAACAACACATTCAGAATCAATAAGCCAAATGATCAAGCAAAGACTAACGGAGATCAAAAATTTAAAAATCATACGAAAATCATACCCAACCCTAAGACGGACTGAACTGCAACAGTGTCCAGCTAGAGGAAAAGGAAAACTGTTCACTTTGTAATTCCATGAACCATTTTGCCAGAGTTTTCATTACCAAAGGGTAGAGCAGACTCTAAAAATACTTAGTTATAGTATAAATACAAACGTTTACCATTTGGCGTAAATTTTGCTCCGCCACTTTTCCAACGAACAATGGATCAGCTCTTGTTAGGAATCGATGGAACTGTATGCTATCTTTATTATATTCTAGTATGAACTCCTTCTAAGGAACTTCACTTGAAACATTTGAAACGGGTTCTTGAACGCTTGTGTAATGCGGGTTCACGGATAACCGGGGATAATCAAGAGGCAAACATTCTAAACTTGAGACTGATATATTAACAATAAAAAAGATAACTTGAGATAAACTTGAAGTAGGAAGGAAATTTGGTGTACACAATTTTGCAATCGAAACCTTCCTCGGAATTCTCTTTATTTAGAGCAATATAAAGAAAATAGTAATTCAAGAGCCGAGAATAGACAAAAATTGAAACGAAAAAAACGATTTTACGAACAAATTTCCCTCCAAATTTAAGGAGAAATATGAATGACTTTGATCTAAGTTGCCCTTGAGCTTTAAAAATTCTGAAAAGCCAAAGACTTTCTAGGATTTAACAACCAAGATTTCAAAAGAGCCTGTAAATGTGAAATTCTGAAAAATCTTGAAACTTATTAAGATTTTGAAATGTGTGAAAAGATTCTGCTGAAAAACTTTATCTGAATCCCCAGGAAATTATAAAGGATCCAGAGAGATTCGAAAATGAAAGATCTTTCACCCTCACCGAAAAGGGTAGTCGGTTCTCTCTGAGAACCCTAAGCGGAAACTCGTGATCGTCACTTTTCGTTACCAGCACCAAATTGCCAGCGAACTCTATAAACTGAGATTTTCCTTGTAGAACTTCCACGTCCCGCCTTTCCGCAACTTCAGTAAAGTGATCTTGATGCTCCAGCGTCTTGTCTTCGTTGTCATGCGTTATACAGAACACTCTCAATCTCGCTTCGAGTGGATCCACACGTTTGGAGAACACCACGAATTTCGCCATGATTGGCCTCCCTATGTTGGAATTTTTTCAGATGTTTGTTCAAATAATTAGTTGAGAGTCACTTATAAAGTTCGGTAGCCATTTTGGTGGCGTCGCAGATGTTTCTGCAGTCCATCAATCAAAATCTTGCGGAAACTATTGTAGTGAAACCTACGACGTCGTTAACGAATGTCAATAGGGTGGATCCGGTCACGTCATTCTGGTACATGCTCTGGTTTTAGTTGTCTTATTTTTATGTAACGTTCCAAAATCACCATTAGAGGTTTTACTAGCTTTGGGTTAGGTAGGTACTTGTTTTGAAACCGTTCATTTTCCGCCGGCTAAACTGGCTGTCTGCAAACAAAGGAAAATTAGACATAAATATACGAACGAAATACTTTACTTACCTTATTCCAAGAGCCGGGGCTTCCTTGATTTGACTCGTTGAGTTGTTGTCATGGTGAGAGTAGGGATGGCTTTATTTTGGCACTTCGGTATTTTCTTTCTTATCTAGAAATAATTCATGTATTGACTATAATTTTATAATACAAAACTTACCTCGGGATTTTCTAAGTTTGTTTTGGTTGGCTTGCTGATATCAATAATCATCAGCTGATTGTATTTGTAGGTCATCGACGCTGCGTTCACGGGTTGACTTACAGTAGATCGTATCGATTCGCCAAGTACCTACACGAAATACTCGGAACAGGGAACAATATTTTGAACTATGTGCACTAAGTGCAATGCTCGAATTTGTTTCTACCCCATTAGTTCTGTTGCTACTCCACTGGTGTTGCTGCTCGCTGTAGCAGCCTTGTTTTCTCTTGACGTTATTTCGTGTGTATGGCGCATGTTCTCACCAGGTTAGGTTTCTTCATTGGAACCCTGACGAAAATCTTTCTTCTTCTCGAAACCTTCTAGAACCACCGACATCTTGTTCCTAGACCCATTTTAGAAATCCAAAGTCCATGTGCAAGTAAATTTTTGGCCAAGTGTCCATCCATTGTGGGATTTATTTTACTGAGCACACAAATAAAATAGTTCTGTTAAATTCGTTGGGGCTGCTTTGCCGGTGCTTTGTTGCACATTGTTGGAACTGTTTTACCTTTAGTAGGGATTTTGTTGGAACTTTGGTAAGTTGGCACGTGTTGCTTACTTTAATTTGGGCTTAGTCTTTTTATTACTTCTTATAGGATTTCTTGCCACCCGGCAACTACGTTGTCCGAGTTAGGAGAGAGGCACCACCACAAGGGATTTCAAGTTTTTAAGGATTTTTCAAGTTTTTCACGTGTCAAGCTTTGAATCCACAAGTAATTTAGACGAGGGGCCAATCCACGTGACGCCCCTGTCGACGTTTGAAATCATATATCGAGCTTCAAGTAGGGGACTGCTGCAGCGAAGTCACAAGTTGCAATCCTCTTCCTTCAGGCCTATCCTGGTTTGAAACCCAGTCACGCAGTCACACACACACAAGTCAACTAGAAGTAATTGTGAACGACGTATCAAGTAAGATAACTTTAGCTATTCTTCTTCTCGAATCAAGGAAAAAAAATTCCAAAACTTCAAGTACTTGTCTAAGTTAGGTATTAACCGTAAGTATACAAATCTTGTTTAATTGTTTAAAATATTCAAGTGGGAGCTTAGCTCGCCAAAGTTTTACATATACATATAAATAGGTATTTTTGATTCCTAATTTATCATTGTAGGAGTTGAACTTTAGGGTATTATTGATATCACCGAGAGTGAATAATTTATTAAATCTATGGGGTGCACCTTTTAATTGAAGTAACAAGTTTTCTTATCAGTTTACATTAAATTGCAGGTACCTACTACTCTCACATTTCCTGTACTATTTTGATCATATAATAATATATATCTACTTGAGTAAATGTTATTTCTGTCTTTCATTGAGGTGTTTACTATAATCCAACAGAACAAGAAACTATAACCTCTTAGAGTCTCATGCAATAACTTAGTAGGACTATTCTATTTTTGAGCTAGCCGGAGAATCCCTACTAGGTTAGACTATAACAACGAACGTTATAGCATGCTGAGCTTTAGTCTGCTAGTACTCGATACGATTTAGCTTAAGATGTTCATTGGAAAATTTGTTAGTGGCTTAAGTAAATTTAATGTTTTATTGTGTTTGTTGTTGTTGTTGTTGTTGTTGTTATTGTTGTTGTTGTTGTTGTTGTTGTTGTTGTTGTTGTTGTTGTTGTTGTTGTTGTTGTTGTTGTTGTTATTGTTGTTGTTGTTGTTGTTGTTGTTATTGTTGTTGTTGTTGTTGTTGTTATTGATGTTGTTGTTGTTGTTGTTGTTGTTGTTGTTGTTGTTGTTGTTGTTGTTGTTGTTGTTGTTGTTGTTGTTGTTGTTGTTGTTGTTGTTGTTGTTGTTGTTGTTGTTGTTGTTGTTGTTGTTGTTGTTGTTGTTGTTGTTGTTGTTGTTGTTGTTGTTGAATGAATTCCTGGTTAAAAATTCTTGAGCTAAACAAATACCTATCAAAATGTATCTGGCTGCAAAAAACTATAAATTATTTGAGGCACACTATCAATACTGAAGGTTTACATCCAACAAATGAACATTTAAAAGCAATTCAAGAGATGCCAAGACCAAGTAACATATTAGAACTTCGATCTTTCTAAGTTCAATCACTTACTATACAGTAGATTTATCAACAAACTTCATGTTATCTACGTACAACAAAGGCAACACGTTTTACTGGACAAAAGAAAATGAGCACTTGTTTCAAAAACTTAAGTTTATTTTGACTTCATCTGATACTTTAATAGATTAAGACCCATAATTACCCTTAATTATAACTAGCGATGTCAGTTCAAGCGGTTTAGGAGCAGTTCTTTTTCATAAATATCCAAATGGAAGCCTAAAACCTGTGGCTTTTGCATCAAGGGATTCGGTACTATGCAGAAGCACTTGGCTTAGTATTTGCACTGACAAGATTTCATCTCTATCTCTATGGTGGACATTTCACTCTGATGACAGATAACAAACCTTTGGAAAGAATATTTAGCGAAGAACGTGGTACTTCAAAAGTTGTTGGAAATCGACTTTTAAGATAGGCTATGATTTTGAGAAGCTACGATTATGATATCATTTATCAACCTGACAAAGAAAAGGGATCGGCTGATGCTCTATGCTCTAGCACAACAAACAGAGATATTTTCAGTCTTATTGGCCCAAAAAATCAACAATCAACCAAGAAATGATATCGTTTGATGAAAACCGGACGAACTTTCTTTTGAAGAAAAAATTCTTCTATGCAATCTTGTGTTCGTCTACATATTTACTAGCTCGTGATTGACAATGATATCGATCAAGCTGCTCTTCATCAAAAATCCAAACAGCCTGAGACAAAAGCATCACTGTACTCTTGGAATGTTTCACCAGAACCTTATCCAAGGGCTATCAGATCTGATACATAGAACAGGACTCTTGTAAAGCAAAAATGAAATGGGGGTGCACAATGAGCCAACAGGCTGCAGTCGCTACAACCAACCTAATCGATTTCTATTCCTCTTGAAGAAACCACATGTCCAAAGAAATTCACTTTTCCTTGGAACAGTTTCAACTTTCCTCAAATTCAAGAAGAAAATCAAAAACGAAAATCATTCGCCATACATATTCACCCAGTCGCTGATGTCAACTTCAAAGCAAAAATGTGACCCTAATATCCTGCGACAGGTCCGGATTAACCCATTTCTCTCTTTGCTCGGATATCTATTATTAAACCCTTCCATTACTAATTATAGTTGCAGGCATGCACGACAAGAAAGCCCAGCGTATACAAAGAATCGGCCCGAGATGATGCCAGAAGACAGCCGCAACTTTGCAAATAAATATAATTAGGATTTACGAGAAACCGGTGGCTGTCTTTCACCGTCTTCTGTTTGTTTACTACCTATGTTTAAAGTAAATCGTTATGAATTATTATTTGCCTGAGATGGATAGCAAAATATGTAGTTTTTTTTTTCTATCCGAAAACAGCACGTTTTCAAATAAATTTGTAAATTACTAATAAACTCTAAACTCGGCGACAACATGGTGGGTGTTAATTATCTACGTTATATTTATTACTTTGACCGTTTCGTTAAGCAATCACGACCTATAAGATTGTTGGTTAAGCTTTTTATATACATAAAAATTTGTTTTCTTTTATAATAATTATTGGTTGTGTGTCTCTCTGTAAGGAGATTGGTTGCCGTTTTCCGTTATACAAAAATTGACTCTGACAAGCTTTCAAAATTAAGTTCTTAAACATTTATTAATCGTAAATAGTTAATTTGTCGCTTATATATGGCGTATGTTCTTTTACAGCACGTCGTAACTCTTTCTAACCGTAAACAACTGAATATATAAGGATTTTAGTTTATTATCATACAAAGATAAATGTGACTAGTTTGGTACACTTTAAATGGGTACCTACTCATAATTAGTCCAAACTTAATTATCTTATCGGTTGGACACTGAGTTAATCTTCTCCATTAAATGCTGTTTGAGTGTCATGAAGATAATCACAAAAAAGGTATGTTCACTGGACAAAAAAAAAATATCTTGAATGTTGCAACTTTCCAATTGTGCGTTACCTGTTATTAAACAACGTTGCGCTATAAGGCAATATAATAAAGTAGGTACCTTCGGCTCTTTGGAAAGCAAAAAAAAAAATTAAAATAACACCCAGGAACAAGCAAACATAGAGAAAGACTTAACGATTGTTATCGAAATCAAAGACAATTAGCGTAAGGCATGCAGCCTTGTCTATTATTGTTTTTATGACTCTGTTAACTGCCAGCGTAACTATTGTCGTTTTATGGCCGTTACAAGCAATAATTCACCCGTGATTAACTATTATTACTGGTGCTTTATCGACAAATGAACATTGACGTTGTGCTTTTTTTTTTTGAATTCGAGAAAGAAACTTAGAGCCAGTTATATAAAGATGAAGTACCTATACGATTCATAGAGTTTTGTAACTTTTTGGAATTAAAAAGAACATGGAAACGCCTTAAATTGTAGATTGAGTACAAAACAAACGTAATTGTTGAATTTTAGGTTAGATTAAAGTTGAGACAAAACACATAATACAAGATGGAGAAGAAAGGGACATTTCTCATGAGAGTTTTGTTTACCCAGTATTGGTATTGGAGTCACCAGATGTCGCCGACATGGCTGACGATTTGCGAAGAAGGCTGCTTAACATTGTTAAGTTGCAAACTGGGGCAAACCTAATTTATTAATTAATACACAAAAAGGTGGCTGAGGTACTCCAATGTCCAACATCGAGCAAATAGAGCTTCGTTTTTAGGGTGTCCGACTAACTCTCAGCAGCGGAGAGTGGGATAAGTAAACATCAAAAAGGCGCCACCTGTTTTACTTCCCTGCAGTCAAACGAAGCTACCGATTATAAACTAAAAACAGGAAACTCTCAATCCTAATTGGAAGTACCTACTGCAAAAACCTAAATGAGCATCACGAAATAGAATGAAATGAAAACGCAGAGATCGCCAGAAGCTGTGGATATCTTCATGGGGAATAATTATTGTAACTGTTATGTGAAATATATATTAAAGATTTTATACTATTAGTTTCCTTTTTTTTTAGTGCTATAGGCAAAATCAGGCAAGGACAGAGTAGTAAAAAAAACCAAAGGCAGTAAAAATATGTCGAACAATCCCCTAGGTTAATTGACTAAAAATTAGACACGTAACAACACAACCCCCTCTAAAAAAAGAAAAAAAAAGAGAAAAAAAAAAGATATTGAAATGGGAATAAACAAAGAAAACGCGCAAACAACAACTATGACCCTTAGGTTAAAATTGAGGTATTCATTGAACTAAGCAACGTCAACATCGGGTGGATGAGCTTTAAGGTCCTTGGCATGCCAATTACCTACAAGACGACCATTTCGATCCTTCAGCTCGTACGTCCACGGTGAAACAATACGTGACACAGTGAAGAGACGAGAAAATTTCGGTGCAGGTTTAGCGGTGAAATGTTTGGTTGCATCAGACAGATGATAGTCTTTTTTCCAAACCCTTTGGTCGACCACAAAGTGATCTTCGCGTCGCCGTAGATTGTAGGCGGGCGTACTTTTTCATACGCTTGAGTCAAACGCTTGTGAACATCGTCAAAAAGTTTCGCTAAACTACGAAAACGCTCACGGGGATCAAAATCAGCTGAGTTCTGGATAGAAATTGAAGGATTCTGGTCATGAGGAAGTTGAATTTTACGTCCAAAGACGATAAAATTAGGAGTGAATCCCGTGAAATCATGTTTTGCGGATCTAATAGCACAGCCGGCTTTAGTCAAGAATTTCTCCCAGTGTCTATGATCTTGATGGACATAGCTGGTAAGGATGGTCTTCAAAACACGGTGAACACGTTCTACTGGATTGGCTTGCGGATGGTAATTCGCCGTATATCGAAGCTCAATACCATAACCAGAAAGAGTGTTACGAAAAAGGTTACTGCGAAATTGGGGGCCATTATCAATAGTAATATAACTAGTGCAATGGAAATTATTGATAATTTTTGGGAAATTTGCCGGAATGCATTTTTAGTTGAAAAAGAGCACGAGTGCACGTAGTGCACTCGTGCCTTTTTCAGTTAAAAACGCATGAGTGCAAATTTGTCGAAAATTATAAATATATTTCCATTGCACGAGTTGTATTTAATGAGAGAATTTCATAAATCAAAAATTTAAATTTTTTGTTGAAAAATGTCAAAACACCAGTTTTCGCACCAGTTAGTATGCAATTATCTGATAATTTGCACTAGTGCAAATTATCGCGTAATTACAATCTCATTGGTTCAAATCAACAATCAAAACATGTCAATTTATTGTTGGAATACCAGTTTTGACAGATGTATGAAATTCTCAACGATAATTTTCTTTGGAATTCCGTAGATGAGCAAAACATGGTCTTCCAACCATTATTTGACCACACTAGCGGCGGTAGCAGTCCGCAACGGAAAGAATAAGCAAAATTTGCTGAAGACATCACAGACGGAGAAGATATAACAGTATCCAGATGTTGAACGAGGAGGAGGACCCACAATATCGACACTGATGACCTGCCATGGCCTAGTAACAGTTGGCTGTTGACTAAGCATTTTTCCAGCGGGAACTTTTCGGAGTGGTTTAGTACCGAGGTAAACATGACAAAGTTGTATATATCGGGAAACGTGAGTTTTCATATTAGGCCAGTAATACTTTTTGACAGATCCTAGCAAGAGTCTTGGAAATGCCTAGATGACCGCAAGTAGGCGGATCATGATGAGAACAAATAATTTCGGAACGTTGCTCTCGAGGAATGACTAAACGCCAAGACGAACTGTCATCTGCTAAACCAGGGTATGGTGTGGAATAAGCGCGCTTATAGAACTTTCCTTTATCGACCCACCACAGAGGAAATTCAGAGGGACGTCCTGATACCTTTTGCTTCATGCCCAGGTACCACTGATCTTTGACTTGAGAAGATAGAACGTCATCGAGCAACAACTGAGAAGTGTCAACAGCATCGAGAACTGGGACAGAACGAGATAAAGTGTCAGGACCGACATTATACTTACCCTTGCGGTGGATGATTTCAAAATCGTATTGCTGCAAGCGAACGGCCCATCGAGCAATACGACCTACCGGATCCTAAATGGAATTGAGCCACTTAAGGCTATAGTGATCAGTGATCACGGTGAATCTAGTACCCTCAATATATAGACGCAACTTCCCGATCGCAAAGAGAACGGCAAGACACTCCTTCTTGGTCGTTGTGTACTTTTGTTCGTTCTTGGTGAGTCATCGACTCAGATAGCATATCACATGCTCAGCATCGTCATGTATCTGAATAAGCACAGCACCAAGTCCAAAGTCAGAAGCATCACATTGAACGATGAAGGGTTTATCGAAGTCTGGACACGACAATACCGGAGCCTTAACAAGATGTTCCTTGATTGTACGAAAAGCAGTCTCACAGGAATCATCCCAGATAAATTTTACATTCTTCCTTATCAGGGCACAAAGGGGAGCTATAAGGGTCGAAAAATTCGGGACGAAGCGCCGATACCAAGAGGCAAGACCAATGATTCGACGGATCTCAGTTACGGATTTGGGGCTAGGAATATTAAGAATAGCCTCTATTTTATCAAAATCGACCAGAAGACCGGGAGAATTTACCACGTATCCCAGGTATTTTAATTCTGACTTGCAGAAAACGCATTTGTCCTTATTTAGGGTTAGTCCAGCGCGAGTCAACCGATTGATGACCTCACGTAAGACCTTAATATATTCTTCGAATGTACTTGTACATATTATTACGTCATCAAGATAGACGAAGACTGAAGATTCCATCTCAACACTAATAACACGATCGATCAGCCGCTGCCACACAGCTAGCGCGTTAGTTAAGCCAAACGGCATACGCCTAAATTGAAATAAACCGCATGTCGGAACAGTAAAAGCGGTCAGAGGTTTTGATTCCTCAGAAATTGGAATCTGCCAGTACGCTGACTTAATGTCCAACGTGCTGAGAAAACGAGCATCTCGCAATTTACCAAGCGTAGCTGAGACATAAGGTATGGGATAGGAGTCGGGAACCGTTACACGATTAAGTGCCCGATAATCCACACAAAAGCGCCATCCACCACATTTTTTCTTGATCATCACGATCGGAGAAGACCAAGCAGCGTTGCCAGACTCTTGAAACTGAACTGGAGCTCATAAAACTGATAAAGTAGATGGTTTTAGGATACTTATTTTGTTTTGCCTACTGCTGTACTGCTTTAAATTTAAAACATCAAATAAAAGATCATTCATTTTAAATTATTTTCAATATTCCACGGTTTGGTTAGTAGGTTAATTAAACACTCGTATGGGCGATGGGCTCCACGAAAAACATTGTTATCTACTAGGTACCTTTTTAGCTAACTAAAGTCACTAAAGATCTGACTTTACAGATTGTGGCAGGTTACTTATTCAACGAAATTTAATGCTAATATCTTCTAGCTCCTCAAGAATGTACATATTAGGCAATTTAAGTTAGTTCAGTAATATTGCCATGTCATCACCCTTCTTGGATTTTTTTTTTGATATAAGCAACATCTTATCTAAGCAAAACCCTTCTCTTGGGTGGATCTTGTAATCCAAAACTTAAACTACTTTTTTCCGGCGGTGCATGACAAATTTCCGAGCTAAGCGCGATTAAACTCCTAATCGAGATTAACCCTAATAAGTCCATACGGCCGTAAAATGGGCGCGGGCTAAAGTCGTGTTTGGGGCGCGTTCAATATTCTGCTGGGATGCACCAGGAGTGATCCGTGCGCCCCGTCCGTCCATTCAAAAATGCGGGTATTCGTTAATTTTTCCCGCCGTTTAAAAATATCCCTGGTATTGTACAGCGGCGGCAAAATGTACTGAATTTTATAGTGTGGTACTGACGTACTGAAAAGAGTCATATTGTACTGATTTCAGTACATCTGTACTGATGCTGGCAACACTGAGACCAAGGCGAGTTAGAACGCTCAACAATACCATCCTCTAGCATCTTCTCTAGTTCTGAGTTAACTTCAGTCTAAAGAGCACGGGAAAGAGGATAGTATCGCTGCTTGATCGGGAAAGAGTTTTTCTGGATATTAAGCTTGACCAAATTAGTGCAACCAATTCCTTGACCGATGTTAGAAAATATGGTTTCGATCAGCTCGTCCAGAATACGCTGCTGATCGGTTGCGAGGCTACTCCGACTCTGGATAGCCGACACTTGAGAAAAATTTCGGTCATGAAGACCATTACGAAAATGCCATTGACCAGCATGACGGTCTGGTACTATCCATGCGACTCCAAAAATCTATGCCTAAGATGAGAGAATGCGGTAATGTCGGAACGACAAGTGCATCAATAAGAACAAGGCCATCTCGCAACTGAAAGGGAACTCGAACCGAATCCATAACATCACACATATCTCCATTAGCAACAGTGCACTGCGATTGTTGCGGATTGAGTTTGCATAAAGACTGCAGAGCTTTCCAACCTCTATCACCAATGATGGTTCTAGAAGCACCACTATCTAATAACCCAAGAAGTGATAGACCGAAAACACGAACTGTCAAGTAGGGACGCTCATCGTCTTTGGCTTGAAAAAGAACGTAGTCCAATAAAATCTGAGATCGAAGGGTGGCGTTCGTTTTTTGAACAATGCGGGCAGGACCTGGACGTAACATCACTTTTACCGCAACGGTAGCAGAAACGGTTACGAGGCTGTTCACATTGGTTGAATCGATGACCTGGCCTACCACAATTCCAACAGGAAGCCTGTTTTGTTGAATCTGATACTTGACGCCGTATCAGATTCAACAAAACAGGCTTCCTGTTGGAATTGTGGTAGGCCAGGTCATCGATTCAACCAATGTGAACAGCCTCGTAACCGTTTCTGCTACCGTTGCGGTAAAAGTGATGTTACGTCCAGGTCCTGCCCGCATTGTTCAAAAAACGAACGCTCAATCTTCTCAAGTCAATCATCAGATGGAAGAATATCTGGGACAGAAACAAGGTTCGTAGTCTCTACGGCATTGACACCATAGTTGGGCTTATGGTATGCGAATTCTGGTTCAATTAAGTGTCTATAGTTGGTTGGAGGAGGAACAAATCTTTGAATGCGAAACTCTGTCTCTTCTATAGCTCGAGCAAGGTGAGTTAATTCCTGGATAGATGCAAAATTTTGAGTGGCGAAACGAGATTGAAGGTAGGGTAACAAATTACAACGTACTAACTGGAGTTTAGTTGACTCAGAAGGAATTTCAGGCAATTTGCGGAACAAATTTTCCATGGCGACAACAAAACTCATGACTTTCTCCTGAGATCCCTGAGTTCTACGCCGAATCTTATCCCAGAGGGAAAACTCGTAGTCATATGGCATAAAGGCATCACGAAGTTGAGCAACCAAGTAAGGAGTTCTGGAGAAGAACGAAGGAATTGTTCTTTAGAAACTCCTCGAAAAAAAGGCATTTCTTCAACTCTTTTTGAAAAGTTTGACAAACTTCCTTGACCGTCATATTTTAAAGACAATCGACTAATGTCCTTGAAACTAGGAGTATGTGGTTTATATGAGTGAGAAAAGGAAGGGCCACGAAGCGGGGACCATTGCAGTTCCTCCATTCTTCTAGCAAAACCTGGAACTGGATCAGTTGGTGCAAGTGTGTCTCATGCTGAGTGGAATTTGCACTAGAAGCAAAATTTTCGGGCTCAACAAATCGTACACGAGAGTCACTGGCTTCAGCGGAAGGCATTGCTTGATATCTAGTTTGTCTGATGGCATCAGAATGTCTTTGATTTGTGATCACAAATGTGTTATCCCTGTCCTGGCGTAACGATGACTGTACCGCACTGGAAGGTAACCAAGAATGTCTGTTGGAGATTGTAGCAGCATAAAGTTCAGTAGATGTGGGAACGGATGTCCGCGAGGACACTAAATGACTGGGTAAATTTGCAAGGGAAGCGTCTATCAGACAATGATGGGGATTATCTGTTCGAGGAATACGCGCAAAATGCGATGAATGTGTCGGTGGAAGTGATGCACTGAACGAAGCTTGAGATTGAAAATTATGATCGACTTGGAGTGATTGGGATGCAAAATTATTGTTCTGAGCTTGCAAGGTATTACTGGACAAAACGGAAGGGTCGTTTGAATAGGACTGACCACGTGATCTAGAGTCCATAAAATTAGAATAATCCCAAGATTCTTTCGAAATACTAGGAGCTGAAACCAATCTACAACCAGAAATAGGTTCGTGAATGGGAGGATCAGAAATTTCTTGATGTGTCTCCAACGGTGCTTGTCTGTCATCCAAGGAAATTAAATCGTTGGATACCTCAGGTTCGGGAGAAATTCGTTCAGAAGTGTCCATGTATTTTGAATGTAATTGTTGAGATAGATTATTGAAGCGTTCCCATAAATTATTCTTCAGAGTCAGATCAGCATTAGAGTCGAGTAGTATTCGAATTATTTTGAACTTAATGTGTTCAAGAAGTGTGCTAATTTTTCTGAAGTCAGAGTCCCTGTTGTCATCATTGAAATTCAAAATATCACGCTCCACATATATATTAAAGATTTTATACTAACAGCATCCATGAAATTGATAGAGAAAGGACAGAATCCGTCAAGTGAATTTTAGTGAACCCGGAATCCGTGACATTACATTATATAGTCCAAAGTGTCCTTTGTTGACTGGAACAAACCGCAGGTCAATGTCGATATTGAAACTAATTTTTTGATTCTAAAGGCATTTAGTTTTGTACTGATGAACATTTTAAAAAAAATCAGGCTCTTTTTCTGCTTGGACTACAAACACATAATTTATAGTAAACTAACTCCAGAGTCCTAAAAATCAACATAAAACATTAGTACTCAGACTTCTCTTTGCAGTCTCAATAAAATTGGAAAAACAGGAAAATTCAAGCCCAAAAAATTCCCTATCATTACACATCCATTAAAACAACTTATAAGGACTCTTGATTTATTCTCATACAAATTATCATCATAAAGTCAATGTTTATGTCAACTAGTATGTAAAAAATTCCTTTCACTATAAACATAAAGCCTCACCATGTTTAAAAACAATAATTTTCCTATTGTTATAAATCATATCGGTGGCCAATAGAAACTCGGTAGTGGTTGATCACCTGATAAAGGCCGCACACCAATGGGAAAAGCTCAATTTTCATAATTACGCAATAAATAATCGCCATTGCAACTAAAAACAGGTGTGTTTTATTATTTCTACTACTTGCATAAGAAGATTCATTGGCGCATAAACACTTATAATGTTACTGCGTGTGTGTGTTTGAAATGCTTTCAGGGAGTGGGTTTTTCATATAATAATAATTAATTCTAGCATTGTACTTTTATTTTATAATGCCTTGAGCAAGTAAAATTTAGACAAGTTTGTTTTCAAATACAAATTTATCAAAATTACAAGTGAAGTCCCTTTATTCAAGGATCGCGTGTGAAATTATATATACAAATTTCTTCTTGGCTAATGAATGTCTGGGGCCTTCTGATAAATAGATAGTTGTTAAGGCTATTTACGGTTGAAGATGTGCCTATAAATTTTGCCCCTTTTTTTTATCCTACATAGATAGTAGTAGGGCGGGAATGTTTTTTAGGGTTTAATGGGCCGTTATAGAGTCGGAAAATATTCTCTCTCATGTAGGAGTAGCCGACAAAGGCTTTGTCTGAAATGTATCACCAATTAAAATCCACCTTATAAGGTTCAAAAGGCCATAGATAAGTTTCAATTGTATAATAGATGATTGAAACAATTAAAGCATTATCTTCATCTCAAATCAAAAACAATTAAGTCCATTTGGTTTTGGTAAATGAGCCGTGACAATATTTTCCTTGTTTTTTTCAAATTCGTAACAATATAATCCGATTTAATGGCAAAACTAAAATCAAATGGAATGTAATAGAGATTCATTTACATGATGTTTTAGTGTCGAGAATAAAATCCTAGACTTCAATTTAGATTATGCGTGTATTTATTAGGCTTTCTAAAATTATAATCTCTAGTCACCCATCTACATACATGTACAATACCTGGGAAAAAAAGCTATAAACTTTAAATTTCGTTTGATTATGCTCTCCGATACGTGGACTTAAAGGCACTTATTTGTAGACGTTTAGAAGCTATAAATAATGAGATAACTCGAAAAATCTAACGGTTTTCGTGATTAAAAGAATTTAAATAAATGCGTTTCGTCTGTGAAATAATATAGTTTTTGGTAAGTAGGTAGGTACTTAGTGTAACTTTTGACTTAATTATTGAAAGTTGCTTCAGATCTTTTTGAAGCCACTCAACAAGTTTTTGAATTATCTACACGATTAACTCTTTGGAAGTTGCTCCAGACTGTTTTGAAGCTATTCTGAACACTTTAGAGCAAGATTTTTGAATTATTATGTTGCTCCAAACATTTTTTAAGCTACTCTGGACACTTTGTAGCAATTTTTTTCATGATTTGAGAAATTCAAAATGTCACTAACTTCAGATGTTTCGAAAGTCACTTGTTGTAACCCTAATATTATAGCACAGCAATAATTGTATTAACATTTGATTATTCTTATATTTCTAATTTGTTTTATTGTAACCAATCTATTTTACAGAGAGGCCGACGATGCCTTTGTCGGCCAATATTATCATACCGACTTGACCTTCTTTTATTGTATCCGGACCCTTAGTCCTTTAGGTTACGTCATCGTTCACACTTAAACTTTCTAAGTAATATAGTACCTAATAAATAGATTTTAGCACATTCATAAACTTTGTAAAAAGGATAAGTTAATTTTAGGAAACTGTAAAATACCCTTTTTCGAAAGGTCCAAACTTGTCTGCTTGGGTGGCAGATAGTTGGAGAGAAAGACATTCAGACTTGCATCTTCACGCTGAAAACATCATATTCAGATTTCAAGCTTCACTTTGAACAGTCGGGTTGCCTCTCAACATTTTAACTAAGTGTCCCCCCCCCCTCAACGAGTATTTTAATAAACGAAGCATTTTTATTCAATAACCGAGTTTTAATTATCGAAGTACTCAACATTCGTGGCATCGGCTAATTCCCAATTCCCAACATTGGTAAACCGATTCCTAACATTGGTGGCAGCGGTAAAGCGATTCCTAACATTGGTGGCAGCGGAAAAACGAAAACCAGTAAACGGTAGACGGTTAACGGAGAAACGAAAACCAGCAAACGGTAAACGAAAACCAGTAAACGGTAAACGGTAGACGGTAAACGGTGAACGGTAAACGGTCAACGGTGAACGGTTAACAGTGTTTTTTTCTGAAGGAGCGCGACGTTACGCAACAGAGAAACACGAAAACCAGTCAGAAAAAAAAAACCCGTGTATTTCTGAAGGAGCGCCTAGAACGCAGCAGGAATCACGCCAGCTGAACTACATTGGTCTACTTGAAGGAGCGCCTAGAACGCAGCAGTGATTCCAGAAACAGAAAATCTCAATCTACTTGGAGGTGCGCCTAGTACGCAACAAGATCAGAAAGAGGAAGATGACGTCAAGTTCGCCCTGAGAAAATTCGATTGCTGATCGAAGAAGCTGATCAAGGATGAAAGTGTAAGTCTTTTTAAATTTTCTGTTGTGGTGACGCTATTGGTTTTATTTTTTTTTCTCTTGTATTTTTAAAATTTTGGTTTTTATAAAAACATATATTTTTGTGAAAGGTACTGCAAATTAACATTGTGTTGGAAAAATATTTTTAAAAAAAATTTATAATAATATAATAATAATTGAACTTAATTATAATATCTAATATATACATAATAATATCAAGAAGTAACTACGTAAAATTTAACTTATTAAAACAAAAATATAGAAATTAATCTACAAAATGTCTGGAAAAGACGCTTTCGATGTATTGAATCAAATTAAATCTTTCGATGGCTATGGAGATGGCAACTCTTTACAATTCTTTATTAAAAATTGTGAGTCAATGATGTCAGTAGTTAAAGTAACTGAAAAAGATTTATTATCAAAACTTATTTTTGGGACAAAACTAGAGGGAAAAGCTCAAGAAATAACAGAAAATAAAACTTTTAATAGCTGGGATGAAATAAAAGACTTTTTAGCAAAACAATTTACGGACAAAACTCCGCCTTCTCATTTTTTATCGCAAATTATGAATATTGAACAAAATTATAAAGAAAATTTGTTAAATTATGGGGAAAGATTAAAATCATTAATTAATAAATATAAAGATGTTTGTTTTCTATGAAAATAATGAATCAACAGTGCTAATCGAAAATATGGAAAGCACAATAGTTAATAATTTTCGAAAGGGTTTATTGGATGAAAAAATGCAATTGAGGGTAATCGCAGAAAATACAACAGATTTAAAAAAAGCTATCACGCTATGTGTAGAGATGGAAATTGAAAATAACGATAAATTCAAAAACACCAGAAATAATATCAATTACGTTCAAAAAAATAAGTTTAATCAAGGTTTTAATAACATGAATAATTATGCTCAAAGAAATAGCAATTTTAACATGTCACAATCAAATTTCCAAAATAATCAACTATACCCCAGTAGCACACAATGTTGGTCCCATTTTGCGGATACATTGGACCAATATTGTATGTTGGTCCAATATTGGAATTTTTTAGCCAACATTGGACATTTATTGGCAATACAACTTCTTTCATCATTATGATAATATATTTATCCAAGAATGGGCAAATATGCACAAACGATATTTTTATCGGCAGCATATAGCCAAAATTGGTTACATATTGGCAATACATATTTTTCTTATATAACAGTGATATATTTATCCATCATTGAACCGATAAGCACAAAAAAATTGTTTTTTTTTTGCATTATTGACCCAATATTGGCAATACATATTTTTCCACATTGTAATATTATATTTACTTGAAAATTGACTAATATACAGAAAAAATATCTTCATTGACATTATTTAGACAAAATTGGTGGATTATTGGCAATACAACTTTTTCTAATATTGCCATAGTATTGTATCCATTAATGGACCAATATGCACAGATAATGTTTTTATTTGCATTATTAAGCCAATATTGGATATAATATGGCAAAACAAATTTTTCTAATATAACAGTGATATATTTATCCATATTGGCCAAATATTGATTCTATATTGGTAAAATATTGTATATGGGTCCAATATTAGCAATTTGTAGTCAATATTGGTAATATATTGGAGATTAATCTTTTTCCTACATTATTATTATATAATATGTGAATCCAAGATTGATCCAATATTGGATCCAATTCATGTTTGGCAATATCTTTTATTCATGTTTATATTTAATATTTATCCAATATTGGTGATATATAGGAGATGTACCTTTTCCATA